GGATGGAAAAAGTCCCCTGCTCCCCTGAATCAGATCCTGGGTGCTGATGATGAGTTTTGCCAGTTTTGGTTTGCATTTAATATTTGCTGACTATGGCTGAATGGCAATAGCTGCAACATTTCTTAGAAACCAGGTTTGGCCTTTCTACTTTCACAGCTTCAGAGTACTTTACTTTTGTTTGTTCTCCCCGGAGTCCCCCCCCCTCCCCCAATTTTCTTTTTTGTAACACCCTCCCATTTACTGGTAAGACTTGGTTAACCCCTACAGAAGGCAGGAGAAAGCACTGGTTGTTACAGCAGGTCCAACAACCTAGAATAAAAACAGTAGCAGGAAGAATGGACCAAGAGGACTGTTCAGTGGCAGTGACCTGCTGTCTTTGTGCAATGTTTGTTTTCTTGCCTGAGAGCAATATGGCCTACCCGTGCAAAAAGTGCAAGCTAGTAGTGCTGTTAGAAGATAAGGTGAGGGCACTAGAGCAGTGAGTGTCCAGCCTCAAGGTAAAAGAAGATGAAGAGTTTTTAGACAGAGTGCTGGAACTGCAACAGCAAAGACTGGTACAGAAGCTAGAAGTGCACAAACAAGCTGAGTTAGAAGAGGAGAATCCTGAAGTAAAGGAAAATGAGGAGGAAACTCGCTTGAAAAGTGCAGGTGCAGAAGAACTAGAAGACACTCTACAACTGTGGAAGCAGTGGAACAATGGAGCCACTTTCAATTACTTGAAGGTATGACTGGAGGGCAGCCTGCAGTGGATGAACTGTAAGACATCCCATGCAACACTGAACAAGAGACTAAAGGTCAACCAAATAGTGGTAATGATACTAAGGACTGCAAGAACAAGAAAAATGCATTAGTTGTGGGAGAATCCCTGTTGCATGGGATGAAAACATATGTATGTTAGGAAGACCTATGGACTTGTCAGGTATGCTCTCTCTGTGGAGGATAGATTAGAGATATAACTAAGATTGCCAAGACTCATACAACCTACTGACACATGAGGTGTATCCAGAAATTAATGAGAATGAAGTCCCTACGCTCGAGAAGGGCTTTGAGAGGGAAAAGCTGACCAAGGCCACTTGGGGTGGGCTGCCAGGTATATGTTAGAATACTGATCAGTTGAATTCCAGCCCTGTCAGAGTTGAGACATTCTTTTTTGTGACACTCTGTTCAAGTGCCTCATATTAAGAAAATGCAAGCGAGTTTGGAAAAATACAAGCGAGTTTGGAACAGTGGTATGCAATAAAACTGTGTGAAATTGGGTAAAAGTGTATCAGAAACTTCGGAAATGGTGAGGAAAGCTTATGGAGAAGCTGCATTATCATCTACGCATGTGTACCAATGGCACAAGTTGAGATCAACTCAACTTGGATCCTTCATCCCAACAATGCACCAAGTCACAATGCTGTGGCTGTCAGAGAGTTTTTGGCTGAAAAACACATCACGGTGCTTCCCCATCCACCTTACAGCCCCGACTTGGCTCCTTGCAACTTTTTCATCTTCCCAAGATGAAGAATGGTTTGAAGGACACCATTTTGGTAGTGTGGATAATGTCCAAAGAGCCACTGTGCAGGCTCTGAATGCCATCCCACTTGAAGACTTCCAGGGATACTATGAAGAATGGAAAAATCTCTGGGTGCGTTGTGTACACTCACAAGGTGCATACTTTGAAGGAGACAATGTTCGGTTGTAAAATTTTTCAATAAAATAATTTTTAAACTATAATTCTTACTACTTTCTGGACACATGTGGGAACAAAAAACACTGCCAAGTGGAGCTTTGAAGAAACCGTATCAGACTTTATAGAGGAAAGTCAAGAACTTTGGGCCCCAGATAATTTTCTCTTCAATCCTTCCAGTTCTTGGAAGTGAATAAATGGGAAAATAAAATTCTCTAAGTGAATACCTGTCTATGAAGGTGTTGCCAATGGGAGAACTTTGGATTCTGGGCTACACTTGGAAGATGGACTGGTGACAAGGGATGGATTGCACCTTACAAACACTGGAAAGAATGTGTTTGGTCACAGCATGAAGAAGTTTATCAGGAAGGCTTTAAACTGAATCCTACAGGGAAGGGAGAAGTACAGCTGGGCACAACAATAGACAAAGGCTTGGGCAGAGAGTACTGCTCTAACAGTGCCCAATAAGTCTTCCAAAAATGCAGGAAGAAAGCTAGAGTATAAAGTATGTGGTCTTTGATGTCTGTATACTAATGCTCAGAGTATGGGAAACAAACAACATGAACTTGAACTCTTAATGTAGGAGGTGGAATAAGACCTGATAGGTATACTTGAAACTTGGTGGGATGACTCCCACAACTGGAATTCAACAATTGAAGGATGTAACTGTTCAAAAGAACCAGAAGATCAGGAAGGGAGGAGACATTGCTCTCTATGTTAAAGATACATATCTCTACATAGAAATACAAAACAAGAGCTTAGTAGCCCCATCAAGAATATCTGGATTAATATAAATGGGGAAAGGAATAAAGGGATGGTAGTGGCTGGAGTTCATTACCAACTACCAAGTCAAGGAGAATATGAGGATGGAACTTTTGAAAAGCAAATTGCCACTGTTCCAAGGAGGTATGATTTCTTCATCATGGGGGACTTCAATTTTTCCAGCATCTGTTGGGAGATACATACAATCTGAGAAAAATACTTTTATAAGTATTGTAACTGTGGAAATCAAGAGTGAAGCAATTGTGGGTGGGGGATAAATGCTGCCAGAATAATTATATAACTCAGTAATTTTAAAGCACTTTGATTTGATAAATTTGACTGTCTTTGATGAGTCTTTGTTCCTGTAATGGATCTGTAGTTGTATAATCAACTTAGACTGACCGATTAATTTTTAAAAATCTAGTATATTGCATTTTGAAATTTATTTTTTTCCTTTATTCTTTATGTTATTGTTAACATTTGTATTCAGCTATTTTTACTAAAAAGAAAAAAACCCAGGTGATCTTTAGTGATGTATCAGGCAAGGTGTTATTTACATTTTGGGTCCTTTTTTCTAATCTGATTCTACTTTCTTAAGGTCTGTTTGACTTCTTTGGCATTTGATTGCCCTCCTAGCCTTTCTCTGTTCTTTCTTTTCCAGTCTTGCCCAAAAGTTCACCACACAACAAAATATATTCTGTGGGGAAAATGCAGCATATAAGAAATCTGTCTGAAGAAATCTAGCCTGTAATGACAGAAATTGCAGAAGGAGGATGTCTTGGGGCATCATGTGACATGCTAGCATTACAGTAAAACGTCTTGTGCATATTGCCCCCTGCCCCTCCGTGATAGCAGATTTCAGAAGCCAAGGCTGGCAGAGATCCAAGACTGGTTGTCTCAGCCTTCCAAGCATCTTGTCCGTATGCTCAGGCTAGGTATCCATATAGAACCAGATGGCACACTGGCCACATCCATGACTTATTTTGTTGGGGCATATACACGGCAATGTTATTTTTGTCTGTGGAATATAATGCAAACTGTTCACAACTGGTCTTTTAGGGTTCAACACAGGGACATACTGGAGAGGTATGGCGTAGATTCTTATTGCCTGAAAGTGCTGCATGGATTGCACAAGCAGGCAAAAGGATTCAGTGGGCTCATGAGGAAGTGTTTTTCCTTGGAGCTGGTAAAATAGCAGTCTCTCTGGGAAATACTCTGGTTCCTTTCCTGCCTGTCTCATCCCTGATAGCCTCTCTTACACTGCAAACCAGACCTGCAAACCAGATAGTCAGTGCAGTGCTATTTCCCCATCCTCTGCCATCCTTTAAACATCTAAAATTTGCAATGTTTTTTCAAGCCTTAAGAGGCATGTTTGCTGAGAAGTAACTCACACTATCTTTGGTAGCTTTATTCAGAACTATGTAAAAAGACTTCAATGGGAATTGCTTCTGAATGGTGATATCACTAGCTTGATCCCACAGCCAAGCAGCATCAGAGCAACCCCTAGAAAAAGGGCAGGGTGTACTTTTGCTCTTCCCTGCTACAGTGTTAGAAAAAGTGCAAATGTGCTCCATCTTGGAGACTATCAGGACAAAAAAAGAGGGGGGGGGATCTTACCATGGGTGGGTCCTATTTTCACCATTCCTTTCCCCAAGAAAACATCACTCCTTTCTTTTTCTTTGACCAGTTTACCTTTTGATAGCTGTCAAAAGGAAGGAGAAGCTTCTCTGAATCAGTGGCAGGTTTGGTGTGTTTTATAGGGCTTCTATAAGGACTCTGGGCAGGAGAAACCTTTTCCTGTTGCCTAGTTTGTGGCCCTTATAAACCCATCAATTGAAAAGTAAGTCACATTCTGTTTGCTTGGACTTGCCTTGGGTTGTTTCCTTGGTCATACTAGAATATTGCTTTTATAGAGAGAGTCCTAAGTTATTTTAAGTTTTATTTCTGTGGGAAAATACTAGAAGATGTTCAGGGAAAGAATAGTGTGAAAGTGGCAAGCACTGATAAGTTTTTAGAGAATTTTCAATATACAGTGGCAGAAAGTGTAACTCTGTTCCACTTATCTTTATATCTTGCTCACAGTTTCCAAAATAATTATGAACAAAGTCTTTAGGACACGATACTTCCATTCCTGGAGGTTGTTTTGTTTGTGTTGGCATAAGCTGATGCTTGTTAAGATGTTCCAGATATCTGCTAGCAGCTTGGAACAGGAACTGCAAGTTTTGTTTAATGTCCAGAAGGGCAACCATTGTCACAGAGCATTATCCAGGCAAACAGACATGCTGGAATCAGGGAGTCTGAATGCCTAAATGTATGTGACTTTACTGGTGTGAACACTATCATAAATTATGATACTGAAACATAGAATGAGTTAACAATCTAACATTTTATTGATGTCAGGAAATGGTGTCTGTCAATATATCCTGTGTTGCAGGGTATTTGCAATCAGATGCTTTTCCTGTAGTGTTTGTTTTTCTAGTATGCTATATTGAGAGGGTGCCCTTAACCATGCTCCAGGCAGAGTCAAAGTGATAGAAAGTTACAATCTGAGTCTTTTTTTCTTCAGGTAGCCCCCAACAGGCTCAGGTTACCTGTCTGAGAACCTAAAGTATCCCACTGAGCTGTATTTAACAGGTAAAAACACTATTTGTATGTTTTAATGGAATGCAACATTTCCTAGTGATGCATGCACATCCCTTCTATATCTTTTTTCAGACTCACCTGGCTCCTATGTTAATGGATTTTTGGCATGAGGCCAAAGTTCTTTTCATTTTCCAAGACTTTAAAAATGTATTTTCAACAGAATTTCACAAGTATATTAAAGGTGTTTTAAAGTGATAGAATCATTTAAAATCATTGCTATGAGCTTAATCTTTGCATCTCACTGGGATTTATAGGAAGTACTTAGCTCCACATGGATGCTTTATCACACTTTGCACTATATTGTCAGAGGGTGGTTGTTATGCTATCAGCTCCATTGTATGATTTGATATGATCGTATTAGAATTTTTTGTGCTGTCGTTTGATTGCTGCTTTTCTGGAATTCTATTTTTAATCTGACTGAATTGTTTGCTGTCCAGAGGAGTCCAGTTATGGTGGGTCTGATAATTGTAATAAATACATATTCTGAAGTGACTCATGAAACCACTGCCAAAGCTTTCCATTAGGATCTGCTTTCCCTAGAAAATGTTTGAGATAGCAGTGAAAACAACTCAGGGACTTAAAGCTCAGAAACATTTTTGTTAGCCTGCATGCACAAACTTATCTATGAAACTCAGGGCTTAGCAACATATGATGTTCATATTTTCTAAAACAGGTATTTAATCTTGTTACTCTGATTATGGAGAAATTCAGTTACATAACCTAAACAAGAATTTGGTCCCAGTCTGTAAAAGGGGCAGCGGGGTGTGTGTGTGTGTGTGTGTGTGTGTGCAGTTTTCTGCTGAAAATCACCTCTCTGACTGCTAATTGTCACAGAAGATTCTAGGTTGGAATGAGACTTAGTCATCCTTAGAGATCGCAATTGATCTAATGCCTAGTTGTGACTGACTAATCGCACTGATTTCAGCGAGTCTACTCTGAACAGGACTAAGTTTGGCTGCTACTGTCTGGGAAATTACTTCTTTGGGTAATTTGAAAAGGATTATTTCCAGCCGAAAACTGGTGTGGAGTGCCAGAAAACATCAAGAGCATGCTCTCATCTAGGGTTCCACAACTGCTTTTTCTCCAGAATAAAACCAGCCAGGTAAAGCATAGTTTCAAGAAATAATAGTGCAGTTTGGCCCTTACTAAACCAACCCCTCCCCGCCCACCACAACACATTTTTTAGTTTACTTCCTTAATGCTGTTTTCTGTAAACATGTGCATCTAAGTTAATTGCATATGAGTGGGAAATAGTTTTGAAAAGATTGTTGATCGCTTGTTGCTCAGCCTGTGGTTGATTCCAGTTCTTACTCTATAGAGATAAAATAGGAGAGGCTGGGGTTCTACTTCCTTTATGGGCATTGTAAGATTGCTGTTGAAAGGTGCACAAGAAGATAATGCAGCTTTTAGCAGCTCCCTCTTTTGAAAAGACTGCTGCATCCACCCATCTTGCAGTCTCTTCCTCTGCTTGCATGAGAGCTGCAAGCCATGGCCCTTCCATCCTGAGAGTATTCTGTAGTGGGCATTTTCCTTGGCTGCTCTTGCCTCTCCTTTCTCCTGGAAGCATAGAATCACAGAAAAGAGTTGGAAGGGGCCATCAGGTCCCACCCCCTGCTTAGTGCAGTACTCCAGGTTGAGCCACCCCTTTCAGATGGCTGTCCATCTTGAATGCCTCTGGTGCAGGAGAACCCACAATGTCCCTAGGTCCTTGGTTCCATTGTCATATTGCTCTAATGCTCAGGAAGTTCTTGATGTTCAGCCAGAACCTGGCTTCCTGTAACTTGAGCCTGTTATTCTGTGTCCTGCACTCTGCGATGATTGAGAAGAACTTCTGGTCTTCCTGTTTGTTACAGCCTTTCAAGTACTTGCAGAGTGCTATCGTCCCTCTCCTCAGTCTTCTCTTCTTGTGGCTAAACATGCCCAGTTCTTTCAATCTGTCTTCATAGGGCTTTGTTTCTAGTCTCTGGATCATCCTAGTTGCCCTTCTCTGATCCCTTTTAAGCTTGTCTGCATCTTTCCTAAACTGTAGTGCCCCGAACTGAACACAGTATTCCAGATGAAGTCTGACCAGTGCTGAGTAAAGGGGAACTACTACTACACAGCATTTGGTGGTGATGCTTCTGTTAATGAAGACTAAAGTAGCATTTGCTGTTTTTGCAGCCACATTTCATTCCTGATTCAGCTTCAGCGTCTGATCTAGAACAATTCTAAGTTCATTCTCACTTGCAGAATTGTTGAGCCAGATATTCCCCATCTTGTAACAATGCATTTGGTTTCTTTTTGCTAGGTGCAGAAGTTGGCATTTTCCCCAAATGATTGTCATTGTTATTTTCAGCTCAGCACTCCACCCTATCAAGATCACCTTGCATCTTGTTTCTGTCTTCCTAGCTATCCCACCCAGTTTTATATCATCTGCAGATTTGATAATCGTTCCCTGTACTTCCTTCTCCCACTCATTAATACAAACATTGAAGAGCACTGGGCCCAGGACTGAACCTTGCAGTAGCCCACTTGTTACCTCTCCCAGTCTGAGAAGGTGCCATTGATGAGTACTCTCTGGGTTCAGTTCTGTAGCCAGCTGTGGATCCATCACTTTTGCTACTTTGCTAATCAGGATACCATGGGGCACTGCTTGGGCAGAGCAGCAGAATTCTAAGCATATGCAAAATTCCTTTCTACTGATTTTTTCTGGTGGTTTCTACCTGGCAGAGGGGTTTTGTTCAGTTTGTACTTCATAGTGAACTTCCTAATGCACAATTCTCTGAATAATAAATAGATCGAAATGCAATTGTCCTTTAGACTGCACAGCTTCTCTAAATGTTAGAATATAGCTCTCTGCCAAAGAACACACCGAGAAAAACATATTGTATAAGAAATATGGGTGCAAACTTTTTATAGGGGAATACACATAATGTTTTATGGAAAATGTATCCAGTTTAAATGTGATTTTTTTCTACATTAAAGTGCAAGATGGAACAGACTATTGACTGAAACCAGCCTCATTTCTCTCATCTTTAATCTTAATATCTTTACTCAAAAAAGATTATTGTTGGGTGGTTTCCTTTTTGGCACCACTTGTACATGTCTGTCTGGAGATACTGCATGATAGTAAAAAAGGAGAGGGCTCAGAAATCTCCAGGCCAGTCTGAGCCAAGCAGGTCTCTGAAAGGATTCAATTCAGCTCATACTGGCTAGGTGCTACACTTCCCAGCCTAAAACACACACAAAAATAATTTTAAGTCACTGTAGAGTATGAGATAAATCCACCAGTCATCAGTGAGGCTAACTAGATGACCTGGGACTAGTCACTGGGAAGATTTTGCATGGTTGCAGAAGGAAATTAAGGTTCAGGGGCTTATTTTTTGAAAGTATAATAATCTCAGTAACATAATTAGATTCTTGGGGCACAGATTGTTCCAATGTCCATCATTTGTAAACTATCCGGACACCCATCCTTATCAGGTTTGGCTGTAATAGCAATTGATTTTTGATGGGTAATTATGGAAATTTTGCAGCTTGTAACCTGCACTTCTAGGGTGGGAAGTGCCTGTGACTTTTTTCCCTCCCTGATTGTGCAAACACAGTCCTTTTCTTGTTGTGTGAATGAAATGCCACCTAACTTAATGTTATGTTGGTCTGAATGCGCAGAGGGAGAGATAGAGTGTCCACACATTTGTTTAATCTGAATGCAAATCACCTGGAACAGTTAGAGTGGTTTATCCTGTCCACCCTCCAAAATAGGAATTTCAAAAGTAATTTGAACTTTTAAAAGTGAAAATATAAATTCGGTCACACACCTCTCATTCACATTGAACATTTCATGTAGGTTTACTGTTATCACTTAATAGCTTCTGAACAATCCTAATCTCAACTCTATTTTACAGAGTTTATTTAACCTTGACAAAAATTGCATTTAGAAGTTCCCTGTCATTGACTTTCAGATTTGGGAATTTAAATTTTATCTTTTTAGAACAGGGTAGTCCAACTTTTCATACCATGAGCACTTTGACATGGAACCACACATGGGGGAGGGGGGGAGCACACAATGAATAACATTTCCAAATCATAAATTAAAGTGTTTGCAATATATTCATTATACACAATATATTTAATCATTGATTAACCATGTCTAGTGCCAATAGTAGATGCCTGCTGCAAGCTTTGTGGACCTCTGCAGCCTGATATCTTCTGCAGGGATCAGGGACAGTTATTTAATATAAAGATGATTTGAGAATAAACTGAATGAAAAAAAGCTCCTTCTCCAACCAGAGCCCAAGCACAATGACTGCTCCTCTGGGGTGGTCCATCCCTTTGGGCCAGTGGCCTTGGAAAAGCTTGCGGCAATCATGTCCCTGCCATTCCTGGGATCCAGAGTGGGGAGGGCACGGAGGGAGGAGCTCTGAGCAGCAAGAGGGCCTCAGAACAAGGCCTTGGGGCCTGCATGTTGGACCAATCCGGTCGAATATAGAATCCTTTAAAGAATTCAAGTTGGCTTATTGAGAACATTGCAAACATGGATCTCACAAAATAGAATGAGACCCAATGAACAACCCTTCTTTTTAGTATAAGAGTATGTAATAAGAGCATTCCATTCTGGGAAATTGCAGCTGTTGAGCGCCACACCATTAACAGACATTGTATTTAGTCAGCATGCATATGGTACAGTGTCCTTTGCTGTGCTTAGTGCCTGATTGACCATGACCTTGGAGCTGGGTGGCTACCAGTGGCAGAACAGTGGACCTTGGTTCCAGAACTGGCTACCTGCTTGAATAGATCCATGACGTCTATACCACAAATAACTCATTGGCAACTAATATCATCCGCATAAAGAAATAGGGTTGGAAGGAACCTTGACGATCATCTGGTCTGATCCCTGCTCAGAGGGAAGCCACGGGAAAGGCATTTATCTTACTCCTCCTGTACATCTTCCACACAGGCTTTGACTGAAATAAGGATCCTGATGTGGCTTATCTGATGTGGAATCACTTGCT